GTTTAAATTTTTAATTAGCAGTACATTGAAACATAATATTTAGCAGTCCTAGTTGTTTTTAAGTGCATCAATAACTCCTGCTTTATTAAATCTATTGATTAGAATGTCTGGTTTTGATGAGAAGCAATCATGCATCTCTATAGCCCACTTGGATACCAAAGGTTTCATGACAGAAAGTTTCATGTCAATTGTTTGTAATTCCGCTCTCCAATTGCTGCAAAATGATGTTGGCGCACCATTCTTAAAAACTTTTTCTTCATAAAGTCCTTAGCAGGCTTATTTGCACTCAAGTCTAGAGGCTGGAGTCAATCTGTACAATTGGCAGGGACTAGCACATAAAATATGTTGTTATCAGCAAGCATTTTAAAAATGCTTGGTAAGCATTGGCCTTTAAAGTAGTCAAAGATTACAAGTGCTGGATGCGTTGAATCCAGACCAAGCTCTTTTCTCTTGTTGGACACGTAGGGCAAAATTATACATTTAACATAATCAATCATGGTGATTTTATTGCTCCAGTAGTTCTCAGAAAAGGTTAGGTGCCAATCTTTAGGAAATTGTACAGCTTTTCGTAAACACTTCTGTGTTTTGCCTTGATAGATAATCTGAAATGGTAAGAAGTGGCCAGCAAGAGAAGCAGCAAACACAAAAGTGACCTGTCTCTTATCATCTGATGCTTCAATTTCCACTTTTTTGGTTCCTCTTTTTTCCATGGTTCAGTCAGAAGAGGGAATAATTTTCACTCTGGTCTGGTCCAAGTTGATGATTAATGAGTCTGGGATACTTTCCATTGTGACGACTGAATAGATTTCAATAAGGTAAGTGCTCGTTGCAATCTCAAAATCTGCTGGTATAACTTTTGACATTGATGTTCCCCTTCTTTGCTGAAGCACATTCTTTTAAGGCCATTCCTAGCCCATTCCTTTTCAAGGGTGATTGGACCACCAAATTCCATCAGCAACATTCTGTTATCTTTTAACAGAAGAGCCCTAGCAATACTTAGTACAACATTTGAGTTTATCATAGCTTGTTGAGAACGCATAGATATTATTTTTGCTTGAATAGCTGTTCATCCAGCTTTGTGCCAAGAAGAGGAAGCCTATACCCCTTTTTCCCAGGTAGTGATGTGACAGAAACTGCTTCTCCTGGCGTGGTACCAGCAACTTGCTTCTTTAGTTCTCTTTCGTAGGCATTTCACCAATCAATGACACTGGTTTTCTTTACATTTCTATCCTTGAAATGCTGACATGTTCGTGATACTGTGTGCTCACTGGCATATTTGGTGATTTCTGCTTTCTCTGAAGGCGTAAACTTAAGGTAGGAGCCTCTTTGTTTCTTTTGATCAGATTTAGCTACAACAGATGGTGATGCTTCAGGCCTTTCTTCAACTTCTTTAGTCGTTCGTGAGTCGGTCCTATGAAAGTATCGCAGTAGTGCCATGTTGATCACGTGAAATACTTGTAGATGGGTGGAGTAGCTCCCAATGGGTTAAAATTATTAATTTCGACTTTTGATGACTGGTCGAAAAACACGAAAATTAATACTGGTCGAAAATTTTTATGTTTACGGTAATCACTGACCGACTGTGTACTAATCCACCAATCATTACTTACAGTGTTGGGTATAATCCATTCTGAATCAAACTGGTCTTTTTATTTAAATCATGGCATTGGTTTGGTTTGGTTGGCATCAGTTTAGTTCCAGTGACTGCCTTTACAAAGATCATTGTATTAGCCAACTTATTGAAGCCGGTCTAATGTGTACTAGTAATCTAGTATAAGTAATAATGTATAATAGCATGTAAATTATAGTTATGTACATGTACATGTATTAAAACTATTAATGTAATAATACTGTCAGATGTTTACTGTCATTTATGTCTCTGTCTCTCTCTATTTTTAGGAAGTAGCGTGGTAGATTAAAATTATGTTCAGAATCATTGTTGTTTGATTTGCTGGACATTGAACATCCAATAATTAAAGTAATTAATTAATTGATATTAATTGATGTTACTTGTTATTAAATTTAGGTTTTATTCAAAGATTGCACTCTCGTTAAAAAATTCATGGAAAGTTCAAAGTAATTGCTTATTGCATTAAATTAGAATTAATACATAAATATTGATGTCCTTATGCTATGGAAAAAGTTTGAGTTGATTCTGACATAAATTTTTCAAGTTATGGCCATTTAAAGAAATCGGCTAATTTTTGAAAAGTCCTTGTACTATATATATGTGTATATAGCCCATGGTTTTCCCAAAAAATGGCTCTGAAATCAACCCAAATTGTTTATTACATTTTCTGATGCATATTGATGTCCTTATGCTGTGATCCCGACTTAAATTTTTTCAAGTTACAGCCATTTTGCTTATACAGTTATCTAATGTATTAAGTGTATTATCAGTTACATGTACATGCACTGTATTAACATTCTCTCTTATTTTCTTTTTCCCTTCTCCTCTTCCTCCCCTTTTCTTAATATTTCTGATATTTCTTTCCTACTGGTCACCACTCAATCAATTGAAATGTTAAAACAAAACATCATGGCACCTTTCAGCTTCGTTAAAGTAGGCGTAGCCATTAACTAACTAATTAATGTATTAATTAATTCCTAAAACCACATCCTCTTTAGAAAGAAAGACTATTAGTTTTACATGTACGGT